TGAATTAATAATAGAAAAAAAGGATCAAGAAGGAAAAAGAACTAGTGAACGAAGATGACAGTCGATGATGAGAATCAAACACTGACTTCAACGATACCATCGACATTAGTTTTCAACGTGTTTACCTCTTTTGGTTTTATACTCAACTTCAACCAGAACCACCGAAAACTGGGACTTAATCAATTCATCAGTCGGCTGATGGGAAGATGCCGTTGTCGATAATATCGACGAGGAATATGATCGGCACATTCAACATCTTCACTTTAGCGCTGTGAAAGCTGAGAGCTCGAAAATCACCAAGAGACGTCAGTCCCCAGAAATACTCGAGCTGATACGCCAGTGTGGAAACGAAAGAGCTGCAGACAACCGCCGACTCACGTGCGAACTTGCGAAAGAATGCAGATTTGCTATAAAAGAAGACCTTACAGAGAGAAGAGCAGCGGTGATGGTCGAAGCTGTAAAGGCTGGAAAAAGCATTTGCAAAGCCACCGAAGCTTCGCCAATTACAAGACCAAGATTATTGCACTCCGTTGCCCAGGCGAAACAGTTACAGCGTCCAAAAAGGCAGTGATGAAAATCACTCACGAATACTACTCGGATCTCTTCGATAACCACGTCCACCTTCAGTCATATGAAATAAAGGAGTAAGGATTTGTTGTACCACTGCTTCTCCCTTTCGAAATCCGACATGCCATTTCGTCGGTGAAAAATCGAATAGCACCAGGTCCAGAGAGGTTAAGACCAGAATACCTGAAGAACCTGCCGCCAGTCCTCGTAAGCACACTGGCTCGGCTTTTCACACGTTACCTGTCTCAATGCAAGGTCCCTACTCAGTAGAAGACCAGCAAGACCGTGTTATTGTTCAACAAGGGTGACCTACACGATAACAGGACTGACAGAATACTAGACGAAGAAGAGCCATGTGAGCAAGCAGGGTTTTGAAAAGGATTTAGTATTCTGGACCATATCGACACGATAACACAGCTCATTGAAGTATCGCGAGAGTACAGAAGACCGCTCTGTCTCACTTTCATTGATTTGAAAAAGGCCATTGAATCAGTTGCGATAGAAGCAGTCTTGGAAGCCATTGATTGTTAAGGAGTCCCTACTCAGTACAAAAGATTCTTCGTGAGCTGTACAAAAATTTCACAACCAAGGCATCACCATTCTACAACGATATTAACATTGACGTCAAAAGAGGAGTTAGGCAAGGCGACACCATCTCGCCAAAATTATTCACCGCCACCCTCGAGAACGTCATGCGAACATTGGAATGGGACAACATGGTTGTGAAAATCGATTGTCGGCAATTACACCATCTTCGCTTTGTTGATGACATCGTCCTTATAACACGAACATTAGCCAGGTGGAACGTATGCTTAACGACTTTGTTAAAGCCTGTGGAAAGGTTAGTCTTCGACTAAATCTCTCATGAACGTTGTTCATGAAGAACGGATTGGTCTAGCATGCCCCATTCACGCTCAGCGAAACGAATATCTCCGAATGCTCCAGTTATAACTATCTAAGTCGGGAAATCTATATGATGAACGACCTAGCCCCAGAGCTGAGCAGAAGGAAACGAGCGGCTTGAGGAGTTTTCAGGAGTAACGAGGATGTGGTGAAGAGAACAAAGAATAGAAGACTCCGTGCCCACCTTTTCGATTCAACGGTACTTCGTACCCTAACGTAAGCGTCAGAAACTTGGTCACTGCGTAAGCAGGATGAAAGATCACTCAACGTTATCGAACGCGCAGTCGGAAGTACGATGCTAGGAGTATCCCGTTTCACACAACTAAGGGATGGGATCCGAAGCTCCGACCGGCGTCAACGCTCAGAAATCAAATATACCGTTATGTACGCCAAACAGTCGAAGATAAGGTGGGCCGGACAAGTAATGCGTATGAATGACAACCGATAGACAAGAGCTGTTAGTGACTGGGTTCCTCGGTATGACAAACCTACTGCAGGAAGACCACCGACCCGATAGTCAAAGTTCTTCACAAAGTGTCTTGACGAAAGACATGATGCTCGACGAGTCCCTAGAGCGAGCAAAATCCACTGGGCTACTCTTGCACGCGGCAGGGAAAAATGGAAGATTTACTGGCGCCCGCTCAAGTCACTCGACGAACAACGGGACCACGGGTGATACAGGTGATACCTCTTTTGGCTTTATACTCAACATCTGGATGAATTGAATGAACGGAATGAGAAGAAAAACACTAATCTTTGACAATGATCAGTTCATGTTGAAAGATAAGAGAAGAGTAAGAAACATTTAGAGAGCCAGCATATACAATGATAAAAATTCGAGCTAAATTTTCCATTATTTTGTCGTAGTTCTCCTATGTGTGTGACTTGCAATGGAAAGTAGGTCGCAGAATTTGGGACAAAATCGATTGCGATGAATGTTCAGTAAGTTATGTTGTATTCGTGACGTCATATATTGCAATAATATATAAAAATTCAAGTGCTTAGATAATCTTTATTGTAGATTTTTTCGATACTGAAGAGTGTTATCAGTCTTCAATACTTTTTATATCAACTTCCGCTAGCTTTTCGTTGAACTTCACTGGAGTATTGGCAACAATAACGACGATAATAGTTAGGTGATAACATTAATAAATAATGACAACCGAGAAGCAATCACAGCAGTGACAATACTTAAAATCACAGTGAACATTTTCAACGTAGAAATCTCAGGTAGCACTTATTCTTCCGCGTTATCAAATAATGTATACAATTCGCTGAACCTGGTAGAAAAGAGTTGCCTAGGTAAGGAGTCAACACAATCTGAGGATTAGCACTATGAAAGAAGAATTCGCTCACAACGACATTATTGTGATGATCTTCTTAGACTAGACTATGAGGATTGTCATTCAGGAAACTCTGTATTATCCGGTCGCTTAAAGCCATTTACGGTCGTCACACGGGCGCCGGACGAACATTCATTGTGTTGTTGAGGATGTTGTTAACTGGTCAAAGAACAAGCTAGGCTTCCATTGGCCGGCAATCAAATAGTGACTGATGAAGCACAAACGAACAAACAAAAAAAGCATCGTTGTTGATGGAATGGGATGGTCGCTCATAGGCTTAGCTAATCGACACACTATTTCGCAATTGGTTCTCAATAGTACCAAAGCCAGCACATTGTTATAAAATTATGCCATTATACTTCATTCCTTTATCCTTATCACTACCACCTATTCCAGCAAAATTTTTTGCGACTTCTGATTTATATTCCGCTAATGTTATTCATCTTTCACAATTAGTAAATCGAATGAGATTTCCTGTCGTGTGAGACGTTATCGCCTTCTCATGACTGGCAGCGGTTTATAAAGCTCACAATCTCGATTTGGATTAAGCAGCTCCCTTCTGTGCAAAATCTATCAGATGATCTTATGTAAGAAGCTACTAACCTGTGTTCTGACTTCAATTAAACCATCGCTAGCTGTCCAAGAACTATGTGTGGTGTCAGTAACCAGTTTGACAGCATCATAACATGTACATGATCAGCTTCTTGCTCAGTTCATTTATAACAGTCTCAATCTTGAATAAAAAGGAAAGTATGGAGCAGTAGATTGATTGGGAAGTCGTAGACTCGAAATCAGAGAGTGTTTATTTGGTTTCTCTTTGTGATGGCCTTTTCAAAAACAATATATCGTCACTTTGTTCAAGGACCGATTACGATCGCGTGTCAGAGCAATCATGTTATCCGGGTTTACGGTCACTAAAATATCGCCATCCGTAAACAGTTGATGTTGGATGTCACAGAACGTCCAAATATTAGACCACATCAAATCGTGCAACTATAACAGAGGGACATTTGTTGTTGTGTTATTGGAATGTCACTACAAGCAAAAAATTACACCTCGATCCAATATTTCTGGCAACAAGTACTTGTAGAAGGATAAAGCTTCTGGCTCCGATCAATCCCTAAGGGATACGCCGTATATTAATCTCCATCCGTAGCATTGTTGAGGTGGATAAATGCACATCTGGCGTATACAGTGAACTTCCGCTGGTCTACTGTTGTATCAAGTCAGTGTTACTATCCTCCTATCCAAGTCTGCTGTTAATTTCCCGATAATAGTGAGATGGATGGACTGGTGAACCCGGACTCGGGATTGAATCAACAACTATGTGTACATTGCAGGGCACATCTAACCACTAATCTGCATGCATCCCACTAAATGTAAATAATAAAAAATCTTTGAACACAAAGAGATCAGTAGCTGACAACTTTTATCACTTAAGTAGATCAAAGTTAATTTTTTAAGCCAAGCAAAGTGAAGAAAAAATTATGACATTTGATAACACATTTGGTGAGAATGTCTGTGTCTCTCAACACATTGCCTATGAATACCAGTGCGATGTGTAGCTGGTCTTAATTCGTTACGGCGTTACTCGAGCTGAGAAATAGTTGAAGAACTTCATTCAGGAGTCAAGATGAAGGTGAACCTATGCGAAGCGCTGTGAGTCGCTTATGATTACATTCTCTTCATGAGAAATAAGAATAAACGGGACGATGTCTAAAACGTGATGGTGTTCGCACCTTTTCCACAAAAGAGAAATCCACTCGTTAACGTGTGACAAGAACAATGAATGACTTTGTGATGAAATGATAGGTGATATGGTGAAAGGTGAAAAGATCTTTTTGCACTTATCTCCTTCACAAACGCCTTTCGGTACCAGTTCCTTAGTCTTTCCCACAAATGCCTCAATGAATGATTTCGTACCTGTGAAAGAACGCGTATAAAAACAACAGAAATTCCCCACACGCACAAAGAAGTGCTATAGTACATTTGGCATCTCTTTTTAAAAAAAAATTTATAAAAATTACATTAAAATATCATTACATTCGAGAAACAATGTACGATTCCAATCTAGACTGTCTAAAAAAATGGGAAAAAAATGTTAGACTAAACCCTAGCGTTGGTTGAGAGCAATTCTTCGATTCGATATTATGACAATAAAAAAATCGCATAAAATGTTTAGCTGCTCTAAGGCGGTAGTCGAGCGACTTTTCTTGCACGTAGACCAGCCTGATGACATTGCATTATTTGGTCCCATTTTGCTAAGCATACAACCAAATCCTTTCGCAGCGACTTTACACCCCAAAAACGTCGAGGATTCGCCTAAACGAGGATAAATTTGCATCACTTACGATTGTCTGGTCGCTTACGAAAGTTGTAATAAAATAACTTGAACAGAAAATGTAACTGGCACGATGAAGTGGAAAGGATGTAGTTGAGCGGGAATACAACAGAAATTCATTCATTACGAAAGAATACTACATTTCAAAGTGGCTACATGGAAAAAAGTTATGATATGCAACAGAAACTGGTGAGAGACGCAAGCCATTTATGTGTACGTGAGGACAGAAAAACTACTGAACAAGGAGTTTTCTGTCCAGGCAGTAATTGCGATTCTTTTAGAAGCTTCAATCAATCACTGTCCTAGACGTATAGTTTCAAGAAATGAAGGGATTTGCATGATTTTTTCTTGTTAAATTTATTACGAATGATAAACATGTTTCTCAAAGGAGATCTAAACGAAGGACAACAAATGGGGAAACAAAATATGTTTGTAAGCACCTCTGAAGCAATAAAAAAGAAAAAATGACAAGAAGAACAGGAAACAAGGAAGAACAGGAATAACTGATGGTGGTGATTGATTATCGGAAGCATATCTATACATTCTGTATGATGAACGATGTATATGGTAAGAATGTCCTTCACCTGTGGTTGACACATCTGAATGCATTGTTCACCGATTTGAGCGACGCCGTTAGCACGACAACATTCAGTATTGTCGTGAGTTTGTGCAGCACAATGAACAACAGCTGGCAGATACTTGTAGAGTCGACAACGAGACGGTTGAACTGTATGCATCAGCTAAAGCATAGATATTTCAGGCTGTACAGTAAAGTTGTCCTTCAAATTTAATCTATTCACATCTCTACCATTTATGGATTACATAGCTGACAACGATATTAACGAGTTTTCATTAGTTACCTCAGATTTCCTATAAGTTTGTTAATCATTTAAAATACTGTTTAAAAATTTCAGCATAGCACAACTGGAAATCAGTGCACAAAAAGAGCACATCTTCTTCTAAATGAGTAATGTTAACAGTGAGCAGAATGATTCCCCTCCAATAGTTTCTTCAATGGCGATTCGCTTCTATTGTATTTCACCTGCTTTTTTTCATTTTAAAAGCAGATTTCCTTGAGATTACCTTGTTCTGTCTCTAGATGAAAATCAAATGATGTAAATATACGTACAATGACTCTGGCCTCAATAGCATTCGTCTCGTATACACACAATCCTCGGCATTCAGGCGGAACAAATCGTTCACAGCATGATCCAAATACCTGATCAGCGACTTTTCTTTCTATACAGGGTTTCCAGTTTGAAGACGCTGTACCGCAGTTCTAAGATGGAGATCTCAGAATAATTTCAGTTCACAGTAAGCTATCTTGATAATAAATCTGATTTCTTTTATTTAACAGAAAGCTCCCCGATTCATAATTTATTTAGCTGCCAAATCATTGTCACATCTATTTTAAGAGAAAAAACTGACGACGATGAGACAAGACAACTTATTTCATGTCATCAATCCTCCTTATTCTCATTACTGACAACTGAAGAAAACATGAGGTGAGAGTTACTGAACCGATCACGGAGTTCATATTGTTCTCTGGCCACAGGCCACAGATAAAGTGACGTTAATCGCGAACAAAAAGCGATTGTGCGCTTCCTATGAGACATACGTTTGCTTTAACATATTTTATGGAAATCGGTTCCACGTACACTTCGGAAAATATGGTGAGCTTTTCGCAAGGAATATATTGCCTGAAAGACTGTCCTCTTAACAAAAATAGGAAAAAAGATTAAGGTGTCAGTTAAGGATGCTGATACTGTGATGCTCTTGGTGGCCATCTTAGGAGCGATGTCCACCAAACTGAACTAAGAACTAAGGTTTAAAAGAGACGAATGAAAAAAGAAAAATGAATCAATCCCTACCATGCATGTAACGATCCATCTACTCCCAAAAACAATAGTTAGACTACTTTAGAAACAAGCATAAGTGAGTAAAAATAAACGAAAAACTTTGATTTAATAGAACGTTTTTTAAAAAAAAGCAGTTCAACATTGGTGTTTTGTCGATGAGTTCTATATGAAGCACCACATCGTACATGCCACAAAAGTACTCGGATCCTATTTATCACGAACTTTTTCGATTTCCCCTTTAGCAAGCGCTTGCTTGAAAAAGGTACTGAAAATTATCGATTTATCAAAGACAGTTTTTTCACCATACTTTTCACTAGCACACATTCTGTTTAGGTTTCTTGCTCAATCGTTTTACCTAAATGCTAGCATGAAAAACATGAGAGAGCTCATTGATTATTTCAATCATGGGATACAACTGATTAAGAGGAATCCAAATAGTTACATATATTAAAAACAACTTACACCAGGATTGTCAAACTTAATCTCATTCTGAGAAAATGAATTGGCTACTAGGATTGACAAAATGAACAGTATCATATCTGAAACAGTGGTAGGAGAAATGCGAAATTACAACAATAGCAACAATTCTCCATACTTGATCATCATCGTAGGTAGCACTGATAGTTTTACAAAAGGAAACCGAAGAGCGAAATATGAATCGAGTCACTAGAAGGAGAGGATGTAATGGAATAATGCGTGCTGCGCGCACTCAAACTTGCCATGATGCGCTGGAGTAAATTGGAACGTTAAAAATAAAACCGTGACTTGTTTGGTCTCAGTAAAAAAGAGCGGAAGATAAGACGAGTTACTTTCGCGGAAATTGGGAGAAAGCAAAGACAAAAATCGTATTTAATAGTTTGAAGCACAGTGAACAGTGTTTAACGTTGTTAGCTTGCTAACTATTTACTCTGGCTGAGATTTGACGAAAGATGGTCGAAAGATAAGACAGCATTGGTAGTAGCAGGTGTAGGAAAGCGGGTAGCGCAGAGAAGACACCGACGGAACCGGATTATTCTTGCGCCACCTGCACCACAACGTGATGCCCTACAATACTGGTGTGCACTGAGAGGGTGAACAGAGTCAGGCCTGAACCATTGCGATACACTCGGCGACGATGAATTAGGTACGGCCAGTGCGACAACCAATCTCTCACCGTGACGGCGACGGTGGCGATGACGGTGGCGATGACGGTGGCGATGACGGTGGCGGTGGCGGCGACGGTGACGCTGGTGGTGGCGACGGTGACGGTGGTGACGGTGGCGTTGTCGTAGCCGGACAGTCCGAACCCGTTATAGGGCTAAGCCCAGTTAATTTGGTCACACAGAGAACGGTCCAGTCGAGTCTCTCAACTTCTTCCAGTAATTGTCCCATTGGACAAGCGGCCTAGAAAATTGGAACAATTCAAGTATAGTGTCTGGCTACATACATGAAATGGAATTCCATAACTAGCATCTAAGCTTTTTAAGCCCTAGTTAATTAAGGAGTATTTTAGCTCTTTTAGTTCATTAATGCCATTGGAACAAAGGAATAATATTATAGAATGAGGTGATAAGGGTTGCATGACAAAAAAATATTGTCATTGGAATGCAACTGAAATATGAATTTTCTCTCATTTCAAAATAAGACTCACATGAAACCCATATAATTACAAAGTACCATTAATTGGCAAACAATTTCTCGCTTAAGAATAGAATTGTATATAAAATTCATGAAGCAGTTTGACTTAAACGTTTTAACCCCATATTACCTTGTTAGCATGGACTACCATAAATCATGGCTAGATTTAATGAAAACAACCTGGTTAGTTTGTTTATCGTGAATCTTAGAATTGAAAATTTAGCTTTAATGATGCTGAGATATTTGCAAAACTCCGGACCGCAGGTGTCTGCGGTGGAAAACGAACGCGCTATCGTCCTTTCCGGGGAGTAACGCGTTCACCACCACACCATGAGGGTCCTTCGTTTCGCCTGTCTCTAAGCTAGTTCTATTGATCTTTTGTCACTAGAGACAGGCGAAATGAAGGACTCGCATGGTGTGGTGGAGAACGCCTTACTCCCCGGAAAGGACAATAGCGCGTTCGTTTCCCACCACAGACACCTGCGGTCCGGAGTTTTGCAAATATATCAGCATCATTAAAGTTATATTTCGCAATATATACCCTATCGTTTAAAAGAGTAGGCAGTAAATAATAAACTAAAATTGAAAATTTAGCATTCTTTCTAGTATACAACATTGAATTCAGCCTACTTCACCGTCTGTGGCTGATAGCCCAACTGATAGCTGCTGTGGTCTTGAGAGAAACATGCACCTAGAAAAACAAAAGGAAAGCAAGGGAAAGAAAAAGTAAAAACCTAACTGCGATAGATATTAGCGGCCTCAGGTAAAGACCTGTGACTACCAAAACACCATTATTTAGTGATCCTAAGGAAAACAACACTCTACCGTTGGCCAACGTGTCATCAGTTAGAGAACACGACAGATTCTCCGGCCGCCATCGAATTCAGGTACGAAACAGACCACCTCCATTGGCAACGGTCATGAGACAACGAAATAAATCAAGGAAATACTGTGGTACAAAGAACGTATTAGGAAGGACCATCTGCGTGACTGTTTCAATAAAGTAACTTTACAAAATTTCGGAAAAAATTCCTAGTTAATTTTCATGCTATGAACTGATACTTTTACAGATAGGAAGATGCATCAACTATTTTCTATAGATGCTACGATATAAAAATTGCTATCTATCGGTAATGGGGCAGACTTTGGCCAGGCTGTCCTCGAGATTCCAGGGAACCACAATGGCTTAGCTAGCAAGTCTCTGAAAAATGGTGATTATGCTGGGGCCCGCACAACTAGTGAGGACGGGCCGTTCAAGTATCAAGTAAGTATCAATCGGTAATAGAAATACAGTTAAAAAAAATTCTTCAAAAAATGTGGAATAACTTCAAGCTCAAACGCTGAGATGCGAGTAGTTTAGAGAGCAGCATAATTTTGCAACGTAAAGTCGCAGGTGGAAAAGAACGAATGCATTAAACAGAATTTTGCTGTAAAACTTTTCCTCAACAGAAATTGAAACTAAACTTGTTTAATTGGAACCAAACCTAATAATGTGGAAAATCTTAAGCATCATAGGAGAGCTCATCTGAAAAGAGGTAGGTGTTGAAGTACATGCCATGTCAATATCATTATTCAAAAATAGGTCTAGAGTATTTAAAATGCCCATTTATATACGAAAAATCTATGCATGATTATAATCGAAGTTCAAAATCGACCATACTCTTCATACTTAATAAATAGCAACAGTTATGTGAGCGAGCAGTTTCCGTCGAGTTTTACCACTATCAACTCCCTCCATCTTTCTATCGATTAACAGATTCACCGTCACTGTAGATGGAATAGAAAAACTTCCCAGTGTTATAACTGGATGAGCGCTGAGAAGCTAATGGTTTTCCTCTCAATAACTTTATAATATTAGTAGATTCGCATTTTTAAAATCAATAATGGCAGAAAAATTGCTATGAGATGTCAATCTTCGAGATTTTACTGATTACTCATTGAATTCGACTGATACATACCGTGCAAAGTACGGTTGTATACATATGGAAACCTACATGGAAAGAGACTTACCGTAGTTCTATAAAAATTTCAACATTCAGTATAATTCTGCTATTCATGCCCGGTTTCAATACCATTTAATGTACTAGGTTTTTCGGAAGTAATGTCGAATTCGTAAGTTCATTTTTCTCGTATATGTCCTAGAAATCGCTTTTCTTTTTCCGTTTTCGTTTTTTCTCTTTCGTTTTTCTTTCTTTTTCAAATGCTGCACTATCATATAGTACTGTACAGGTACTTCTATTCCTTACTTCTATGCAGTTTCTCTCAATACAATAAAATTGTAATACAAATGGCGCTAAGAACATTAATAAGTTCGACAAGTGTAAATATACGAATTTGAACCCGCACGTACTCAGCACTAACGGATCGAAATCGTAATGAGGTGTGGAACCAAGGAACTTTTAACCAACGTTCAGTAAAAACGTTAGTTTGAAAATTTCACTACGGCGAACTCCACCTTGATGATGAGGAAAGTCGCGAGCGTCCTTCTTTTGTTAACGATGATGAATGGTAAGCTTCTCTATAAGAAAATGCATGCACGACTGTACGAAAACTTGCAGAAAAACTAACTGCAAGCATCTCAAGTGTCTCGAAGCACCTAAAGAGAATTGGAAAACGGAAGAAGCTCAACAAATGGGTGCCGCACGAATTGGATGACAACCAAAGATATCGCCGTTTTGAGGTATCTTCTGCGCAACCAGAACGACCCGTTTCTCGACCGTGTTGTGACGTGCGATGAGAAGTGGATCCTCTGTTTTAATCGGAGACGATCGGTTCAGTGTTTGGACGGCTACGACGCTCCGGAGCACTTTCCAAAGCCAAAATTGCACCGAGAGAACGCTATTCTGACCGTTTGGTGGTGTACAGCCGGTTTGCTCTTCGAATCCGGGCAAAACGATTACGGCGGAGAAGTACGTGCAGAAAGTCGACAAAATTCATGGAAAACATCGGCAGTTGTGCCCCAATTTGGTT